TGTTAGCGTTTTCTGATGTGGGGGACGCTGCGGGGTGTTGTGTGCATAGAAGGAATTACTTTTCTGTAAATTTTGATTTCGATTGCAACTAGTTGGGAAGAAATACTACATACTAATTTTAATTTCTATCAAAAAAAAACATACTAATTTTAATTATCAGTTGCACTACTTTTCTATGATAGTAGGGGTGTTTTTTCCTTGGAAACCACCCTAAAAAATAGAGTCATTATATTTTATTTTCAATTTGTACTTAATTATTTTTTGAAGTGATCGTTTTTGTTCCCATCAACCATCTTCTAGTCAAATTTTCACTAAAAATCCAAAAATAAGCTTAAAATGCACATTTTAAGATATGTCAATTGTTTTCTAGCTAGACCTAAACATTAACAAAGTGAGTCATGTGCCTTTAATGTGAGTTCTAAAAAGTATTCTTGGGGTTTTAGTGAAAATTTTGATAGGATGTCGTTGAGTGGAACAAAAATCCACTGTGAAGATGATTTGCATAAAAATTGATGAAAATGAAAGGTGGTTTTTATATAATGACTATATGTTAGGCTAAATTTTACTAGGTTGCTGTTAAAAGTAGTACCTAATGTCTAGATTGGTAGTAAAATTACCTCCGGCGTCAACATAGTATTTATACTTACACAATGAGATAAATGTGCCCAAAAATAAAATTTCAAGCTATTTTTTCAAGTAATCACTTGCATGATCTACCACTTTGTGTTTAAGTGAGATTTATTATCACTTAAAAAAGCGGTAGTTAACCTCATTCAATCCGTTAGAAAGGAAATTTTCTCAGATTAGGGCAGAAAAGAGGAATTTTTAGTTTGGAGCTTTTGCTTTTAAATTGGGGATTCTACAATGCAGTTTTCTAGGAAAAGCCCTTAATAATGTGATGCTTGTGTTGAGAGTAGATCTCTCACTAGAGATCTTAATTCGGAATCCTCTCCACTATTAAAAAGAAGTAGTAGATGGACTACTATTTATCACAATCATTATTTATCTAGTAGGTCGATATGATTTTTTTTCTTTAAGTGTAAATTAGGAATGTGTACAATACGTGAGCTATATATGTGAGTGTCAGCTTTAGAATATATCACAATCATCCACTAAATAATCAATAGTTGAGATTAGAAGTAGTGACCTCTTCCTACTTTTTCAGGGAGAGGATCCAAATTCCTCTCACTAGAACCACATATCATGGCTAAAGATTCTTAATTCGTAACTCAATTTCTCAAATTGTTTTCAAACCAAATTAAATAGGGGTGTACTTGAAGCTAGCTAAATCAAAACTCTAATTCTAACGTACTGATGTTATCCCATAAATATTTGTATCATATATTAATAATCTATCAAACAAATCTGATTAGTCTTTTGTTCTAGAAGTATTTCCCAGCATCAGCAATTTTGTACGTACAGCTAGCTATAGAAATAGAATCAATACACAATTAATGTCTTTGGTAAATTTCTTCTTTTGACACTTTGTTATCTCTATTTTGGAAAATAATGTTGACATGAACTAGCTAGTAATTAAATGTGACTGTCGAATTTCTATCCTTGCAACAAAAACACATGGCAATTGATGAAGAATTCAGACACAGACGCAACATAATATTGTGCATCCCCAATAAAAAATGTTTGGTCACATCGCAGCACATTTTTTATTTATAAAATTAAAGAGACTTATATACATGTACAAACAATCGGTGTACATGAAAATTACCAAGAAACATGTGGCTTCGTGATCGAGCTGGATTTTCTTGGAAATTTTTTCACGAAAGAGGCATATATAATAAATGTAACAATGCAGTTTCTGGCTATTAAGTAGTTGAGCTCACATAAGCAAGCATTCTCACGTTTAACACGAGCTCAATAGAGGGCAAACCTAAAATAACAGTTATTGCAATTAGTAATTAGTAGATGATCGATCATATGCCAAAAGGAAAATCTATATATATATATACTTGATCATGTCTCTTCCTCATGATCACAAAGTACATTTACTCTTCATTTTAAAAAGCTAATTAATGTGATGAGTGTATTTTCATTTTAAACAGCTTGACTATAAAGAAGTAATCATGCTATGATAAATATACAGAAATTTAAGAGAACTTGATCACAATATTGTTCATTTTACTAAGGTGTTTAAATACAAAAGTAAATGTAAGGTTTTACCTAAGTAATGGGAGGCTAAAGTAAAACAAAATAAGATAATCTAACCTAAGCAATGTTGAACGATTCCCGTTTATATATAGGGGTTACAACTACTTAATCATCTCTCGCTACAAAGAATCCCACGAGTAAGGTCTTACACATACAAATTGTTTGTTCGTTCTCATCTCTCCCCTCTACATGTATTCTACTTTTTTTTCCCCCTTAAAAAATGTATATAATTGGTTTTATATACTATCTTTAATGTTCAGTTCAGCTCAATTATGTCAGATATATGAGCATAACATTTTCACGTACGCAGTCTCTTCAACCTTTGGAGCATATACCTGATCGAGTTAGTAGAAGTTACTTTCATTATGTTCCGTGACTGCTGTAAATTAAGAAGAGAATCAATATCTATATGAAAATTCCAAGTTAACTAGCTTAAACAAATTAAGGGGCTGCATGTATACATGTGACCGATAGAAAGGTTATACTCGTTCTTGGACCTTTGACGTACTCTCTATATATATTTTTTGAGAAAAACTAGCTCTAGATCTATGCTAAATATATATATATTCTGAAAGAGATGTTATGACTTTATGCATGAATAATAGACATTAACCATAAGCTTTGAGAACGTGCATGCTAATTAATCGCATAAAACCAATAAGTACTGGAAGAACTATAGGAGAAATCATCAATTAGCAATCTAAAGCAAAGAGATGAGCAGCAACAGAAGTTGAAGAATAAGTCGATCTGTCACTTTTTAAGGGGCATTTAAAACATTTCGTTCGCGCTTCTTTTACTCCTTCAAAGTCTCAAAGTCCATGCTAAAAGCCTAAAATGGACCGTATAATTATATTTTCAATTGTTCAACGCATGCAAAAATAACTTTGATTTTGTTTCGATCTAGTTCGTAAATTTTTTAATATGCCATAAGTTTTGCTGGGGATTTTCTTGCTTTGACTCGGCCAACATCAACCTATATATGTGGACTACATTATGTTATGACCAATTCCAACGTGGTGCTTTCACCGTCGGCCTCGTTTGTCTTTTTTAATTATAAGCCCAATTCATAGTACAAGCCCATTATAACATGTGATAAAGCTTAACCTTAGTTAAAAAAGAAAAAGAAAAACAAAATGCATAGACTAAAATAGCTTTTCTGTGAAAATCAAAGCAATGTCAACTAAACCAATTCTAATTTATAATAAAAGAAAATCTAATTTAAACAAGAAATGTATGACAGCTGTGGTAACTGGTAAAAATAACTACTCCTTTCTTTAAGTCTACTATATTACTCTATGGTCAATTTTCAAAACTCAATCAAGATTGATATTTCTACATTGTCAAAGGTAACTAAACCGAATAAGTACGAAAAATATAAGTGCATTCAGTTTCATGACATTTAAATATGCTCCAAATGAATATCAAACCTTAAATTATCGGATTTTGGAATTCGTGCATTGATCCAAAAATTAACATCTTTTAAATACACGTTTAATATTAGTGGTTTTTGCTTTTAGGCACAAAAATTGACCCATATTTATAATAAAACCCCACTAATTTTCATCTATATCCATACACCCATAATGTCAATACCCATTTACGTTTAAACCCATTTTCCATTGTATTTTGCATTTATAAATAAAAATTTTCAAAAATTTCTAAACTACCCTTAGCCTCTAAATCGAAACCGATTTCCCCAAATTCGGCCTTAGATCTCTCAAAAGGATCATTCTTGTCTGATTCCCTTAGCTGCCGACTTGCAGCTTCGTTCTCAAAGACTTTTCCTTTGTAACTTCGTCCGTAAAGATTTTTCGAACCCTGGTCTTTTTGTTTTTCGTTCTTCATCACCCCTCTCCCCTCTTCTTGCTTTGTCGCTCCATCCGCCATTCTTGCTTGGTTGAAGAAGTTAGGCATTTTTAATTAATGTTAGGATTGATAAATGTAGAGCAATTGGAGGAAAATGGTATCTTTCTTCATTGATATGATAGTCTATACATACAATGTAAAAAAATAGAACATTTTGTGCTATCCATCCCGATGTGCAACTAAACCAGTCTTTATATATACAATATTTAACAACCCTCCTCAAACTGTAGTTGGGTTGACCAATGTTAATTTGCTAAGGAGGAACAAATGCTGTTGAATGTTTTGAGTCTTAGTGAATAGGTCTGCTAGTTGAAGCTCAATATTTGCATAGGGAAGTGAGATTGTGCCAGCGAGAAAGTGATGACGACTGAAATGACGGTCTATCTCAATATGCTTCCGCTCAAGCAAGACGTGACTGTTTGCAATTTTAATTATGCTCATGTAATGAATGAGAGCCACCTTTGTGGAGTGGACTCACATCCCGAGGAGGAGTCATTGTAACCAAATAATCTCTGTGGTGGTGGATGTCATGGGGCAATATTCGGCTTCGACCCAAGAGCAAGAAAGGACATCTTGTTTCTTGGATTTCCAAGAGAGCAGAGAGCCACCTAGAAATATGTAGTTGTTGGTGGTAGATCGTCAGTCTGTAAGGTTGCCTACCCAGTCTGCATCACCATAGGCATGAAGAGTGAGTGATGGGGATGCTAAGAAGAATAGCACTTTGTTCGGAGTCTCATGAAGGTAGCATAGTACATGAAGTAGTGCAAATTGGTGGGAGGAGTGAGGGGCAGCAACAAACTGGCTGAGGACAAGGATAGTGTGAGAAATATCGAGTCTAGTGATGCTGAGATAGACCAGGCACCTTACATGATGTCGATATTGGGTGGCATTAGGTAGTGGATCACTATCATTTTGCTTTGAGCTTCACATTCAATTCAAGAGATGATTGAACTGGTTT